TAGACTCCGTGTGCAAGGCTGAGGAGGTTGATGCTTTACCCGATTCTCTCCGTCGAATTTTATTCACTCAATACCATATCCCGAACATCATCAAATTTTAATTTACTGTTTCCCGACCAGCTGTTGACTGTTGTAACTGTAGAATTCTAACTATCTGGTAGAGATGATAAGAGAATTAAAGCTTGAACTTCATCATCGAATTCAATTTTCACGGAACTCAACTGGCTTGTGATTATGTTGAGTTCATTTAGGTGTTGAGCCACTGATGCCCCTTCCACCATCCGCAAATTGAATAATCACCTAATCAAGTGAACTTTGTTTGAGGCCGATGGCTTCTCATATATATTGGAGAGAGCCGCCATAAGACCCACCGTGGTCTTTTCCTTTGCTATGTAGAAAGCAACATTGTGGGATAACGTCAGTCGGATAACTTCGAGGGCTTGTTTGTCGAGAAGAACCCAGTCTTCATTCTTCATACCCTCTGGTTGCTTTCCTGAGAGAGGTTGATACAGATTTTTCTGATACACAAAATCTTCAATTTGCATCTTCCAAAAGCCAAATTTCGCATCATCGAACTTCTCAATTTTCACATTCCCTTCGTCTGCAGTCATCGCTCCCACTCAAATCTAGCTTCTTTTGGATCGCTTCTGACAATTCTTACGAACCACTGTGTATTAGAACACATTCGTCGACAAATTCGTATCGTTTGACCAAATTTTACTATTCACGAAATTCATTGTTCACATGAATAGTAACCTCGCATAAAAATTGAAAAAATTCACCACCAAAAGCTCTTGATACCATTTGTTGGGAAATAAACGAGTAATTTCTCTATATCCAGATCAGTGAGAATGTGAAATAAAAGCGAAAAAATAATACTCGAAATTGATAACATAGTTCAGCCAATTATGCCTACGTCTCCGGACTGCTGCAGATCTTTTACTAAAGAGAGAAAATTTACAGGTGTTTACAAAATACTCACAACTCACAAGAAAGCTCTCTAGTATTGGGAGAAAGAAATGATTTGAGATGATTTTGAAGCTAAATGTGTAAGGGTATTTATAGTTGAAGCTTAATGACTAATCTTAAAAAATACCCTAAAATGCAGGGACTAAATGGGTTAGGGTATCAGTAGTGAAAGTCACCCTCTATCCAAAATCTGATGATGAATGCAATTTTTTTCTACATGAAAGTTTGATGCACAGTTTCTGTTAGATCTCAGTTTTGATGCTTTTTCTCCTCATTACAAACTCCATTTAACTAAAAATAAAATCACATCCTTTAACTCACCTACTATACAGTTTGACCTAATAATTTAATTATAAATTTCAAAAATTAATTCAAAAACAAATATATGTTATTTCAAGGAAAATCTTTAACGTAATTCACGGACGAATATATTAAAGGTACAAAACTTTTTTTCCCTGAATGGTATGATTTCATTAACGTTAAAATCATACAGAGAATATTAACATATGTCTCATTAAAAACATTCCTAAACTTAAACGGAGGAAAAGAGTACGTATGTTAATACCTGAACAAATATCCAACCAACAAATCCAAGCCAACCCATTGGTTTAACCATCAGCCAACTCAATCAGACAGTCAACCTGCAAGAGAGTACTGATCAATTCGGGTGGGGAATGAAGGACAGTAGTCTCCAAGGTATTTAACGACACATTCTTTGCCAGGGCTTCAACAATTTTATTTCCGCTTCGCATTACATGTTAAACTCTAACGTATCAATTTTTCCCTCTTAAATCATTTAAGTGCCATCTTAGCTTGTAACACTCTAAAATTTCCCCCAAATATAAAAACCCTCAAATTTAGAAAATTTTCCTTAAATTCCTAATTTTATTTAGTGACCAAAATCGTAAATAAATAAAGAGTTGATTCCATATTCAGAAATCCTAAGGAGTTGGAGGATCAAATTTGTGATTTACCCTCTTTTCTTTGAATCACAATTTTAACACTGTTTCACTTCACAGATCCATCGCAGCCACACCACTCTTTTTCTTCTGTTAAGCACGCTTCTCCCATCTCAATGTCGTCACTCATTTTTCATCGCTGTGCCACCGTTCCTGTCGAACTCAGGTCGCCGGTGAGTTATCCGACCGCAACCCATCGTTCTCCTTCTCGTCGTGGCGTTTGGGCATCGTCGGTTCTTCTCCTCGTTAGATTGAACCGTGAGCGTTGTTTTATTTTTGGCGTCGCCGTGGTTTAATCCGGCCGTTCGTGGCCATAGTAAGGTCGGGGTTGTGTGGGTGTTAGTCGAACCAACCTGGTTTCGTGTGTGAACAGCCTCGAATGGCCGTGGAAAGTCACTGCTGCCGTTCCCTCACCGCTGCCTTAGTGGTCACTATCGCTGGTCTTATGGTCTGTTATCAGTATAGTTTCGTCACTGGTGAGCCTTTCGTTCGAACTGACAGCCCCATATTCGAACTGAAAACCCTACTGCCCGGTTCCTAATTCTAATCGAGAATTATTTTTAATTGTCGTTAAATTGCTTCATTAATCTGAAAATCATTGAAATGAGATATTAAATCAGACATCGTGATTTTTGCACGGAACTTTTACTCGGAATCGAAATTATCGCCTCCTTTGCCGTTTCCCGCGAACTTCGAACCAAATCGTATTGCTTGTGTTGAACGAAGTAATTCGAATCGATCCACGATTCAGGCCAATCGTGAGAAATACTATTATTGTCGTTAGCTATATGTAAGGTGTGTCTCTATATGACATTATATTTATTTCGTGTTGATTGATTGTTTAAAATTGATTGTGAGCATCACTATTACATGTATTGTTGCTTTAAAAATAATTTGGTTAAACATGTTTGGAAGTTAGTTTCGAGCATGATATTGTTGTATTTGATATAATTCATAAATGTATACCAAGTGAAATATGTTGATATATATTGGACTGAAAATTTATGAGTTGCATTCGGATTATTTGTATATATAATTATTATATTCGGATCGGATCAGAATTAAGATATATGATATTTGAGTATATTTTATTCGGATATATGTTATTCGGATCAGGTCGGATATCATATATGTGTGTCATTTGCATATCATATTGGGACAATTATTGATAGGGGAAGCTCAATACATTCACTTGATGGAATAAATGTCACTTTTTTTGATTCAGTGGCATCTATCTTTGTGGCAGACCCTCTCATATAGTGTGTGAGTTGGAAATAGTGTGGTTTTGGGGAACCCACTATTCTGGGTGTGACAGGAGCACAGGCTGGTGTATGAGCATTTGCATATCATTTACATTGTGATTATCGTTGATAATTTGGCGTATAAATATTACTATTTATTTCAGATTATGCTCTGACTTGTGTTTGTTGCACTTTAGAGACATATTAAGCTTAATAGCTTACACCCATTAGTTTCACTCTTTCAGATACTCGAGTTAAGAGAATCGGTACTTGGAGGTCGACTTTATTCAGATTTCATTAATTTTACAATATGACTTTTTTTGGATTTTTTATTTTATATTTTATTAATATTTTATTAGATAGTATTTAATATATTTAAATATTTTAGAACATGGGACATAAATTCTGTTTTGGACTGTGCACGTAAATGGGTTACATAGCAGGTGAGTCCCACTATAATCAACTCTAAGAATCTTCAAATCCTCCAAACTGTCAAATTCAAGGACCACTTGAAGATAACTCGCTTCCCATACCATGCAGACCAATATACGCATCCCAAATCTCTGCATCGATAATCGGACAAATTCCTATGAGAAACCAAATTTCCACATACCGCAACTATCCCGAGCTACTACACCACACCGAGCACAGCCATCTTCCTTTCTCCATGAGGCATCCGTATTGATTTTTATCCAATGTAGGGGCGGTTTAATCTAGCGAGGGGGGCCACAGGCCATCACACTGTAGCTACATGACACATGATGCTTTGGAGGGTTATACTCGCTATATGCCTACTACGCTCAATAACAGATCCATTACCTGGCATGGGGTTGTCGAAAATCATGGCATTACGGTTAAGCCAAATGTTCCAGAGGCTTGTTGCAAACATAAGATCCCAGTTAGCAGCATTTTTGGCAAACATGCGAGTCCCCTGCAAGTTTGCTGCAATCCACTCCTGGATATCTAATGCCAAGAAAGAATCAAGTTTAGTTGGAAACTTGAAGCGCGGCTGGGCAGTTACGCAACACATAGTTAATATCCTCACTGATAGCGAGGTGGCGACGAACGCGTTCCTCATTCGGCTGGCAGTTACACAACACATGGTTAATATTTGACTATTCATATGTTTTACCCGTCATTTCCGTAAAAAACTTATATGTTGTTTGAGTTAGACGTAAATATTTTGATTGTGATATAATAAAACCTTATCGTTGAATCATTTGAGTTGTATTTTGTGGATTAACTTTCTGTTTATATTATATATTTGAGCTAGTGTTTAAAACATTATGTCATTTAGTCAGTACTTGCAAGCAATGATGATATTAGTAGACATCATTAAAATATAATTTTATTATACTCAAGTTAACATATTAATATCCAGTTTAGGCGGTAGTTAAATTTTTAATAAAAAATAATGAGTTTAAAATATATTCATAATCGAATGATATTTTTTTCATTTAAGAGAATTGATAAAATAATATTCTATAATTAAACATTGTTTTACAATTTTCAGTAGTTGGATGATTTGTAAACTTTATCGCGTGGATAACGGCACAATTAAAGTAGGCAACGTTGGCTTGTAGACCGACTTCTTGTTTGGATCGCGCGATGTCGCCAGGTCTCGAATGGTGCGCCAACGGATCATTCGTGAAGTAATTGACCTATTTTTTTCAAAAAATAATAATAACGCGCGTTTTGTCCATTGGGCTTGCGCGGCTGCTCTACTTTATCGACCAATATCGAGAGAGATAAAGTAGTCAGTTTTGCAACTTCCGCCGCTTGAATTGATACCTAATTGCAGTATGATTTATTTCCCTATATAAACGACATTAGAACGAAGAGAAAAGAAACTACTTGATCTCTGAAACGATGGCCCCATTCTCGTGGCTCGGTCGTCCTCGTGTTGCTGCGCTTAGCAGGAAAGGTTTGAAATCAAGGGAGAAACGAATGCAGAAAAGGGTGAAGAGGTTGAAGACGGAGATGGAGGCAAGAAGCGAGGAACACAAGGATATCAGGCAAGTTCAAAACCAAGTGAAAGAAAAAATCCAAGGAATTGAGTCGGAGTGCGAGGAATTGAAGAGAGAAACTAGATTCATAATCCAGCAGAGTGCCAGAACCCAGGTTAAAATTGCTCTCATGTTCCGCATTTTGAAAGCAAGGGAAAATGGCGACCAAGATTCCGCTACCAAACTCACTCAAATGCTCCGGTCAGTTTCGTAATTACTAGTTCAACATTTTCTCATATCATGAACCCTAAAATCTCATGTATTGTTAGCTGATCGTTCAATTTCACCATCCTCCGCATTTTGATACCATCATCGGTGCCCACTAAATCCATACTCTTAATCAACTCATAATATTACCATAACATTCATTGAAGCAGGGATAAACCATGATTTTATGCCAACAGATAAATTTATAAAATTTGAGAAAAGATAGAAAATATTAAAAAAAAAAGAATTTAAAATTTTAGGAGCCGCCGTCTCGCCGGATCTATCCCTGCAGAAAGTACATTTTAATGAAGAGCATTGTGATATTTCTAACTTGATTTTACATTCATACAGAGAAATTGTAGGAAGAGAGGAGGAAAGGTGACGGTTGGCATGGCGAGGATAAACTAACTATGCTCCGCCGCTTCCAATTCCAATTCCAATTCCATCCAAGTCTATCAAGTACTAAATATACTTTAGCACTGCGTTTGCTAATACTTGGTATCTTGTGTTTGTTTTTTGTTTTTTCTCTTCTCAATGCAACTTTAAACTCCAACTTCAGCAAATACCCATTTCTTCATGTTAATTTCTTGTTTTTAGTTTACTCCTATTCCATTTATTTTGTTATTTTTACTTCATTCATTTTCGATTTATATTCGTCTAAAATCAAATATATAATTAAATTAAATCAACATGTTCATGAACATATGTCATGATATTTAAAATTGTTTTTAATGTGATAAAAGAACATCATCTCTATTTATCTAAACTGTTTTTCCCTTTCATTTGGAACTTATTAACCTCTTTTATTTTTGCATTTACTTTTCCAATACATATAACCACCTACTAATGTTACGAGGCTAGAACTGAAATTAAAAACATAATTGTGTGTTTATTCAATTTGAATGAATAAGAGAAAGCTTAAGATAAAAATAAAACAAGATAGGCTTGAATCGAATATACATATTTATCTTATTTACTCTTTAAATAAAACATGACAATTAAAATAGGAAGAATTTCTATTTATACTAAGTTTTTCAATCGATGGTATTCGAATCAAACATAAACATCATTTACTCCATCCACTATGATTAAAAAGTATATCTATAAAACCTAAATTTTCTCTCAATATTTTTGTGTCGTCTTCCTCTTTTTCTTTGTTTTTTGTTTAGACGCCAATACTAATCTTAATATTGGTTGTTTACTGTTAGTGATTATTATTGTTTTTGTTCTTTTTAATACTATGTCATTTGTTTTTCTTTTTTTATTGAGTTTTTTTAATTTTAAATAAGAATTTCCGTCTTTGTGACACGTTTTTCTCTGTTCTTGTGGGACGTTCCTTATGGATTTTGATAAGTTTTCGCATATTACTACAATCGTGTTGGAGCTTGTACAAAGATCCTTACGTCATTTATTTTTTTATTGGGTTGTCGGTAGTCATGTATTGTCACATCCCTTCTTTAGTAAAAGGTTGTTTACCAATATAATCAAAATTATGTAACGACGTTGTTTGTTAAATTGTTTGATTTGCTCATCACTTTTTTATCACTTCGTAAATCATTCGTTCGACAGAGACAATGAGTTTTATGAATGTTACTGTGTTCTATTGATGTTGGACGTCATTCTCAATCAAAAGTTTCAATTTTTTTATCTTTGGATTTAATATTTTTTATGTATGAGTTTCTTAGTGACTATTGTGTTCAATTTTCTTTTAGAAAGTGTTATAATTTGATTTCTTGCATTATTTTTATTAATGAAATCCAATTGTCATTGTCTTCAAAGTAAATTTTTGTTTAATGTTGGTAATGCTTAAAACACTATCCACATTGAGTGGGAAATACCACCATATTGGGTATTTATAGTGTTCATTCTCCCTTCCCTTGTTGAGTGATAGAGAACAATGAACCATCTCGCGTGTCGTCGTCCGTTTCTGCTCGTGGACGTGGACATGGTCGTGGTCGTGACAATACGTGTACCACTGGATTGGGTATTTATGGTGTTCATTCTTCCTTTCATTGTTGAGTGATAGAGAATAAGGGATCATCTCGTGCCGCTGAGACGGTTGAGGAATTCATGGTGGATACCCAACTTAGTTATCTATAGGTGGTCTTGGTGAGAAAGACTTGATGAATTTACCGACTTTGGCTGAATATTTATTCTAAATAAGTTCATAACCCAAAGTTGAGTTGGTAGTTCTAATTGAAAAGAACAAAGTGAACTTATCGCTAGAAATGTTGAGTTTTATGAAAACTCTTAATGAATTCAAATCTAAAAATTTGGATGGTCATACTGAGAAGGACATACTGAATTCATCGATTAATAAGGTTGAATATTTATTTTCATAATTTCATATCTCAGTGCTTGGGTAGTTCATTTATAATAAACTTGAAGAAAATCACCATAACCTTTGAGAGGTTGAGCTGTTGTAAAAGGCTCTTAATTATTTCATAGCCTGGTTTTAAAATGGTTTATGTTGAGATAAACATGATGAAATAACTTATGTAAGTGAGGTGATTAGTACACTTACTAAAATCCTGAGGTAAGATGACTAAATATGCACTTGTGTATGTATATCTTACACATCGAGGACTTTGGTGGATGAAGGGGTTAGTTGTGTGTTATGAGTTTACCCCTATCTTAAAAACTTCAAGACTAGTTTCACTTATCTAAGAGAATGATTGCTCATCATCAATATGTACTAGTTCAAGATACGTTCACTAGTACTTAAGCAACTAATTCCGCTATTGCTCTTCTGAAAAAAATATGTTTCGAGTTTCAGAAGAATTCTTCCGTATTAGTAGGGGAATGTTGGTAATGCTTAAAACAATATCCCACACTGAGTGGGAAATAGCTTTGGATTGGGTATTTATAGTGTTTATTATTCATTCCTCTGTTGAGTGATAAAGAACAAGGGACTATCTCGCATGCCACTGGCTCGGCTTGTGGCTCATGACTCGTGGCAATACATATATTCGACACGTCCGCACAAATACTATCGTTTTTAGAAAATTTGAATCATCACAGTTGATTAATTAGATGTTGTTTGATTTCTGTTAAATTAGAATCATAACAGTCAATTTCTTTGGAGATTTCCTTAGACACCTTTTGATGCTACTTGATCAGTTATGTGCCTAAGTCAGCCTTAAACCAAGCCTTATGAGCAAGCAAACTCAACAAAGGTCGGAACCATGCTCTCAAGGCTTCAATGGATTGAGATGGATGAGCTCAAGGAGTTGCTCATATGTAAGAATGCAATGAGGGAATTGGGTGTACTTAAGACCTTCTTGGAAGGATATAGACCAGGGGTGAAGCTCGCAGAGGAGCAAGACGCTTATAGACTTTACGAAGCCATGGTGAAAAGCTAACCGAGCTTAGAAGGGCCAATCCAACTAGCATGAAGATGTTCGAACCCAAGCCGAGGGAATGAGACAATGGTGAGAGAGCCTAAATAAAGGTGAAGTGGGAAGATGGTGAAGAAAACTCTTCGAGTGGTCAGGGAGGGCCACCGACTAATTGTAGCCAAGTGAAACCATCAAAGAAGAATGCCAAGGCTGAGTTTGTTGGGAAGAATGAGGAGAAAAAAAGGAGATCAAGTGTTACTTCTGTGATGGTCCTCATATGATAAAGGGATGTCCCAAGAAGAGACACTTTTTTATCATCGTCAAGGAGATAGACGAGTCAGAAGGGGAAGTAGTAAGACTTGGCACAATTACAAGGGTCAAAGCATCTAAGGATGAGAAAAGGAACGATGAGAGAAAGGATGAGAAAGCCTTCAAATTGAGGGTAAACATGGAGCAACTTAGGTGCTACCATTATAAGGGGCCTCACAAGTTGCGATGGTGTCCAAATTGAACCAAGCAGTCCAAGAGGAAGGACAAGGCCGAGAATAATGAGCACGTGAGACTTGGTGCGATGGTGATGAGTTCTATCAAGGAAGATATAAGCAAAGCGTAGAAAGTGAAAGCCATGTCCGGGGTGGCTAGGGAGTTTACCGAGCATGTTCAAGTAGAGAACATGGCTTCAAAGACCACAATTATAGAAGGGTCGAAGAGAGCTAAGCCAAGGAGGGACAAGGCAGCCGTGGAACCACCAATGAGAGAGGTGGGAATGAAGCGAATAACTTTGAGGAGGGAGTGTCGATGCAAGAGAAAGTAATAGACTTCAAATAGGAAGAACCAATACAATAAAAGAGCACCAAACTTTGAGTTATAAGGGTGGATGCAGTGAGAGGTACCCGACTTCAAGGGAGAAATGTCGATACAAAATGGAGCAAAGAACTTCAATGAAGAAAGTTTGATGTATAAGGTGCTAGACTTCATAGAGAAAGAAGGGTTGACATATTTTAGAGCAAATGTTAGAGCAACCAAGAAGAAGGTACATCTCAAACACAATTCTAGTGTTTGTAAAGTTGATTTGCCGTCATTGATGAGTATAAATGGAGAAAGACCTAACCATCTGGGTAGAGATGCCAAAGGATTGGACAAGATATCCAAGTCTTTGTAGAAGGATCGAGAGGCTCTGAGCCACGGCGAGTCGAAGTTGATAGAAGAATACTCCTACAAGAAAAATGTATCTAAACGTATTTTATTTAAAATGGGGAATGAAAAGAGGGTTGTGGAGTTATATTATGGCATGAACCAAGACAAGTGGTTCTTATGGGGGAACTGCATCGAGTTAAGGCAACGGAAAGCAACCAAGGTGGAGGAGCCCAGGATCATTCGAGTGCAGCGACGAGGGCGTCGCTAAGTTCGATAGTAGAGGGTGTCATGTACCGTGAGATTGAGCTCGGGACATTGGTGCAAGAGTCAAAGAGGTTCAATTTGGAGTATTGGGCTTGACAAGACCACCAGACTTGGCCCATCACTTGGAGAATACTAGAGAGCTTGTTCACACTACAAGTGCAAATATGGAAAGTGGCATCATATCGAATGATGATCACAAGAGCTTGATAGATATGGAAAAAGATAACAAATCATAGAAGATTATGGAGTATTCTTATCGTATCAAGTGTGAACACCTATCTAAGAAAAGAATGAGACTAATTGATATAGTGGTGGGATTGACTTTCCTTATATTGGGGGATTTGGAATAAATTGGGTCCATCATAGCTATTGATGTAAATAGATATAGGCCATTAATTGTGAGGGAGCTCAATTATAAACAGAGAGTCTCTCATCCTCATTTATATCATCTCATTACATTCATTCTCTTTGGAGAGAGTAATAAAGCTCTGAGGCATTTACTCTAAGTTCTCTTGTTCCTTTCAGTTGTTTTAAGTTCTTAAGTTCTCTTTGTGTTTGCTTTTTCTCTAGGTGGCTAAAAGTAGCCCCCGTGGTGTTTACACTTCCATACGAGTGTTCAACTTTGGTGGCTTGAGTGGCCTCATTGTTCTAAAGCTTTCGCATCCATCGAAGCCTTGAGGGCTTGGTTCTGACCTTTGTTGAGTTTGCTTGCTCACAAGGCTTGGTCTAAGGTTGACTTAGACGTAGAACCAATCAATTAGCATCAAAAGGGAAACGTTAGATGTATCTAGACAATATTTCAACTTATTCAATTGTTTATTGTGTTAGTTACAAGAGTTATAATAGTAATTACAATAGGGTTACAAGAGTAATTACAAAACAGTTTGAAATTATATCACGAACTTGGATTGCTTTGGTTCCAAACTCATTGGTTTATGTTAGTAGTTTCCATATAGATTAAATTCAAAAATTAAATCATATTTATATCTTATTTTTTTCTTGGATATTTTGTCCCTAAACTCAGACTATAAATAGAGAAGCAATGTTAGTTTCTCAACTCACTCAACACTTAAAATCCTCTCTAGACATTCAAAGGTTTTTTACCATGTTTTTTCTTATAGTATCAAAAGAGCGGTAACGCCTCAAATCCCAGGTTAGGAATTTTGGGCTTAACCATTAGGGACTTAGAATAAATAATTTATCTTATAGGAGACCTTAGCCCAAATTTAAGTGGTTTTGGGCTTGGTTTAAGTCCAATATGAGATAACAAGGGTGTTTTTAATCTTAACAGAGAAATGGTATCACTAAAAGAGTAATTAGACCCAAGTTTGAAATAAAAGTTGAATTCCCTTAATAGTTTGATGATTCACGTTAGATTTCCCTTCCTCATTTTCACCATATTCCCTTGTCTTTTCATTCCTTATCTCAATTTCCTTTCCTCTCCAAGACTTGAACAAAGGTGGAAGCTTTTAGTTCTTCAAGCATGGTCCAAGAGTTCTAAGGTAAAATTTAAACCACCATTTCAAGAGCTTCAAATTAAGCCCCCAAACACAAGGTTTGGGCTTTTATAACCAAAAGTGGGTTTAGTGGGTATTTAAGGTTTTGGGGAATTTTAGCCTGGTTTTTGGAGAGATTTCAATTATAAGAAACATTTTGAATTCTTTGTAAGATTTTAAATGAGTTAGTAACTCATTTACCTTTTATTTGTTTAGTGCAAGAGGTGGGAGAATGCTCTAAGGTCAAATGGAAGGAAAAGTTGCACCTTGGGTGATTTGAAGGAGTCTCCAACTGTTAGGAAGCTAAGGCAACACTTTTACAACTCTTTCATACCATTTGTGAGTCATTAGGAATGCATTTCTGTTGTGGAGTTAAGTATTAAAGCTTATATAAACATTCATGGTAGATTCCATGTTTGATGTTTTTAGCATGTTTTAAGCCTTCCTTATGACCCTTAGAACTCACTTTGGATTTTAATAACACTTGAGAACCTCAATAGGGTTGTTAGAGTAGTTTAAAGGGCCATTTTTGTGCCTAAATAAACATTTCTAAGACTGAGTATCGGTACTAGAGGAATAATACCAATATTGTTCTTTAGATACAAGAACAAAGTGGTTTTTGGGAAGGAAAGTATCGATACCCATTTATATGGTATCGATACTTATGATCTGGTATCGATACTCGCAGGATGGTATCGATGCCATGCAAACTTAGCAAATTCCAATAGCCAATTTTAGCACTGATACTCGGTGAAGTATCGATCCCGGTATCGATAATGGTCCAACAGTGTCGATACTTGCCTTGAAATTCTACCTATTTTAACCTAGAAGTATCAATACTTAAGTGTGAGTACCAATACCCGAGTACATTTTCGAGCAAGAAGCCTAAATGAATTATGAGCCAAGTTGAGGGACCCAAGAACGCTATGATATACTCGAATAAAACTCCAAGTGAGAACCACTAATTATGATTCAAGTACAACTAGAAACAAATCCAAATATGATGACATAATATTAGCCTTGTTTGACACTCGGGAAAACGACCAGGACACTTGAGTTACTTTAGCGATTGACGATAGCTACGAAGTATAAATTGTCAGGATATCCTTAGGTAGTGCGCAAGACACTTAAGACTAACCATGGCACAAGGCCTCAACAGTCGTGAGGGGTGGGTTAGTTGGGTGTCGAATCTGAAGTAGTAATTTCGGATTTGCACCCCTAGTATACTAAAGGGATACATGAGCTCCGAGATGCAGTAATCCCTCAATTGTACCATGATGTCTACCCTAGAGTAGTGTGAGTATGCTACATACTTTAGTTATATGTATGTTAGCATGAGCATTTGTGAACACTTTTAGTATGACATTATTGTTAGTATGGCACTGGCTAGTTAGCTTAGCGTTCAAAATTGTGTTTTCGTTCGTAGGTCTTTAGGTGGAGCACTCGAGGAGCCGGTCGCTTTGTAGATATTCCAGACAAACGAGAAGTTACAATACGTCTTGCGTATATTTTTATTAAAGCGCATGTATAATTTATAAACCTTCTTGTACTTAAGCGTAACTAATTTTAAATACTCGATTTTACTTTTAATATATTTTTTGGGAGCTCCCTAGTACTGTAAACTTATATTATTCCGTATGGTTTCATGGTTTCTAAATGGTTGTTAATCATTATATTATTGGTGTTTTAAAAGAAAATTTTTTGGTTGTCGCTCTAATGGTCCCGTGTGACGTTCTAATCGGTCGACTGTGTGTCGTATCGGATTATGGTGTTGCAAGAGCAGTACTACCATCATTCCACTCCAATTTTGGGTATACAAATTCTCGGAGCGACCGTGTTAACCTTGGGAGACGATCCGCCTATCGTATTGATTATACTCGTCGGGTGAATTTGTTTCTAATGCGATGATTTTCACGACGACAAAGTTTCGGATAATCTTTTGCAAATTATATTTTAAATTTGTCCTATCAGTGCTAACAGTGTGATTTTGCAGTATTCATTTCCAACATTTAATAAACTCAAAGTCTATAGTTTATTCTTGAACACTAGTCCGATTAAATAATGTGGATCTTTTGGAGGGTAACAAGAACAATTAGATTTTGGAGGGCTATTTGGTAATGATACATTGCTCAAGAGCTTTTTAGTTTCGACGCATTGCTCAAGACTTGTTCGGATGCCTATGTTTGCATGGTTCGGATTCAGATGTCTATGTTTGCATGGTTCAGATTCAGATGTCTATGTTTGCATGGATTCCAACAAACCTTGATTCGCGACCCACCACCAGCAAAGTTCAAACAATATTACAAACTGGGTGACAAGCTGGTGTCTCTAGTTTTGCTTGGTTGTTGTCTCGACTTTCATTTTCCCACATAACAAAGGAGATTGGTCGTATAAATACAGATACGAGTGAAGATTGGTATTTGTCTGCGATACCACCAAATGCTTTTGACAGTATGAACAAGATAGCCAGCAATTTTAACAAGGGCAATTCAACAGAATGATTCAGCTATTTGGTTAGTCTCATCCTTTTGGCAGATCTAGGATGTACAACATAGCCGTACCCAGACCATACAACATTCATCAAATCCATTCTCGTCCTCCCATTGGATGATACTCCAACTATTCCTCTTAAAAAGATGCCTCAATCACTACATCTAATCAGGGCGCCACCAACTACTAAATGAAAAACTTGTGGGTCATTTCAATAGTTTGCTGTTCTGGGCTAAATGGACACATTTCAATCAAACTAAAAAACTTCAGCTGAAATGGCTACAAGAAGACCCGTGACTATGGAAATTCCTAATGCCTTTCTGCCATTGGAAGCTGTTGTATCCCCGCCATAGGTTTTCCTCACACTTCTTGTGTCTTATAGTCTCACCTTGAAGCATCTCCAAATATTAGACACTTAAGAAATTCCGGAAACATAATGAGAACTTCTCCCAAAAAAGGACCTTAAATAGCTAAATTCCCTCGAAAAATTGACCTATGTCAATTGTGACCTATTGATATAACCTCTGATAGACCCACAAAACTTACCAGAACCAAATCTATTGTTACTTGATCATATCCATCTAATATGGTAGCCTACGAGTAGTAATGATGACCCTACAACTGACACTCGCATTAAGGGTCACTATAAAAACTCTCGACCAAGATTGCGAGCGAGAAATGATTAAACCATCTCACCCTTATTTGACTCTATTCTACCTCCTTATCGACACAGAGCATTTTGACACTGCCCAACAGCTGATCCATCACCAGTTGTGGTTTTCCGCCCAAATCAGAGAAAATGAACCGTCTACCGCCGTCACAACACATTTGATCACATCAACAAAAGCTAATCACGAAAGACGTATATGGTTCACAGTGCATAACCTGTTTCCTAACATCAATTGTTCCCTATTTGCATAAACAAACTACAGAGCGGAAATTAGCAAGGAACTGTTCATTACATGACCCTGAGGACTGGCCATCGTGATCCAAGAATCCCCTAGAACAGACAAACAATTTTAAGAAGATAGCCAATCCAACACTAAGCATGAACTGTAAACCTCATTTCCCAATAACACAACCAAGCAAAAGAAACAACAGGGACCAACATAGGTTTTGCAGTACAATATACAAGCTCATCATTCAATTACTCATGCGAAACAGTTAAAAGAACATATCACAGAATCAAATGAACAGTTACATACTTAAACTCTTATTGCAACAAATAAAGGTTTGGGAGAAATAAATATAACAGAGTAGTTTAGTATCTCACATGCCCATTTGAATACACTTGGTGCCTACAACATTTCACAAGATACAATTTTTTTTTGATGGGTGGAATCAAGCATCCAAGCTCTCCATCTGAACGCTGCTTTTGAGAGGCACATACTCCCCAAGATACCCACCAAGATGATCATGCAACGCAATCTTGTCGATTCCCTGATGATGATAACTCTTGCAAACATAGTAGAATACACTCTGAACCAACAAGCCCACCAGATTCACAATCACCAAAACTCCAACCAAGAATCCCCCCACAATAATTCTCCAAAGAACCCCATACTTTTCTCCTCCGTGCACCACCACGCTTCCGAAAATACCTCCGATGACACCACAGATCGCTAAATATCCAAAAACCAAAATGAAAGCCATCCTCGCCCTCCCTTTCAACAGCTCGTAACTCTTCTTCATAGCTGCAAGGCCGTAAATAGGCTCAAGCACCGACACCACACTGGCCAAATGCCAAAGCGCCGTGATGTAAACGTGAACGCCCAAGAAGAGCACCAACACCACCAAAAACGACAGGAATGACAAAAAAGTATTCCGGGAATCAACGGCAATGACAAACAAGACCAAGAAACCAATCAATAGGGCGTTGTAAGCAAACATCAAGAGAGAAACCCATGTGAAGGTAATAAAGAGGCGCTTAAAAACCTTGGGTATGGCAGCGATCGTGGAAGAGAAATAGACCGGCTTCGACGTGTAGAGAGACGCAACAGTGAAGACAACTGCAGCCGTGGACAAAAGAGAGAAGGCAAAGAGGAAAATCAGGTAACAGAACTGGAAGGTTAAGAGGATAGTCCACTCGTGACGGGTCTGAGTCGGATCAGCTGAAGGATGGGATTCGAGTTGATTCAAGATTGGGTGAGTGAAAAGCGAGTGAGCCAGAATGGCGAAGGAGAGAGGGAAAATGAGAGCTAAGGTTATGAGATAGAAGGTTTTTGGGGATCTTTTGGGAATCGAAACGGACTCTCGAAATATATCTGATATGGACAGGAACTGAAGCTCCTCCGGCGCTAGATCCATGTTGTTTATTTGCAAAAGGGATTGCAATAATTCAGGGATCTGGAAGATGAAAGTGTTGCAGATTTGGTTTTTGAAGAAAATGTGTACAGCCTTTGTAGAGAAGAAAGACCCCGTATTAATTAATACGAGGTTACTACGGGGATTTCCTGCACTTTTTATATTTTTGTCTTACTAATTCACGTGATTCTATCACGTACACGTGCCTTTTGGTATTTAATATTTTACATCTGATGACGAAAATGTACTTACTTTGACCTTTAAATTACAACGCCCCGCTTCTTCTCTAATTATTAAGTTAACTATACCAAATTAAACATGCTTTAATAAAGGCTAATCTTGTATGAATTAAGGGTAAAGTACAAATTTTATAACTGACCTTTCTCTTTTCTCTTTTATTCTGCTCATTATATATTAATTTTTTCAATTTTTTTATTTGACATTTAGTTGTTTCCTCACTAAAGTCATGACATAGTTTTTTTATTTTATTTTTTAATGAGTAAATTAAAATTTAATCAGTGAACTTTATTTCCTTTCTTATTTCACTCACTATATTTCTAATTATTTTAATCTAATTACTGAATTTTATGCATTAGATTTTTTTCACTCCTTTCTTAACAACAAAGAAGCCATGTCATAACGTCGTTAGTGAGGAAACGACTGAGTGACCAAAAAATCAATGTATTAAGTTTAGTGAAGAAATTGAAAAGATTTAAAGTATGGTGAGTGGAATAGGATAGAAAGCAAAGTTCAGTTACCGAATTTATAATTTACCGTAAAATGAAATTATTTCTAGGGTAAACTTAACTTTGTTCTTACTCATATTTTGGTTACTAAATTTAAAAAAAAATCAATTAAATCCTATTTTTGTTAGTCGGGTGTTAAATCATAAATTGAATGATGATATGATAGTCATATGTGTTGGTGTGGATTATTATTTGTTTTTATGTTGACATGGAATCTGTAGGTCACTAATGCAATTTACATTTTGCTTTTATATTTTTCCTTAAAAGATGAAAATTTTGTAGTTTCATCATTGTGTCACGTCAACATTATAATTATCATTCTTTGACATCTTCTTCCACAACTCAAGATATTAACAAAATTTTCATTTGATCAAAAAAAATTAACTTTGATGACCATAATAGAAACAAATCACAAATTTAATTAATAAAGTGAAAAATTTTAACTTTGATGACCATAGTAGACGTGAAAACAAACTTGAGTGATGAAAATTTGTAATTTACCATTATTTTTAACTCATCATTTGATTTATTAACTTTCAAAACATTTGTATATAATCAAATATTTTTAATGGAAAATGAACATATTCCATTCTTTAATAATATATAATTATTATTTTATTACATATTATTCTTTATAAAATTTAAATAAAGTAAATATTTTTTTGTCATGCATGCTAATTTTGACTCAGTAACAATTTAACATGATATTAGAATGATGAAAAGAAAAAAAACCAATGTATAAAATTTCATTCCTATAATTTTAGTTATAATTATTAAAAAATCATGGTACATGGTGTAATACTCTAATCCGATCTGGCCTAAAGATTGATGGACTAAAGCACTACATGATATCACCAAATTAGTTAACCCAAAAAAATTCTTTTAAAATGTGTTTAATCAAAAACATACTACATTGTATCAATAAACCTACATGACGTTTATAAAATACTTTTATAAATTGAAGCTCCATCATACAATTTAAATCAAATAATACAAATCGAGATTGATAATCCAAAAACATAAGTAAGATCTTATGAATACACATGTCTACTAAAACTACAATATAGTATTCTGGGAAATATGTTGGAAATCCTACTGCAATGGTATTCCTCGAAAGGATCAGCTACTAATCTACGAACGAAAACATTCGAACGTCGAACTTAAAAAGCCCAATAATATAATCGTTAATCTAGAGCAGCATAAGAATTTCATAAACATAAAACATTTAAGGTTTTACACATGGGATATATTGTGTTTTTTGATACACACACATGGGATATAATACAATCACATTTTCTGCTTCATTTTTATGCGAAGATAATAAAATAATAAAAATATTAAACTACGAAGACAACTGTCAGTGTCAGTGATTTTGTTTATCAGGATGATGTTATTTTATTTATTTATTTTAAATTAGTTTTCATTATCTTAATTTTTCTAATTTTACTTTTGAACATCAATATTCTATTAATTTAATTGAATTTATTTAATTTTTTTGAATCTACACGGTAGTTTTCACGGTAAAAGAGATTGTTATTTTTTTTAGAAGTTTTGAGCAGTTACGTCTCTAAGATATATGTGCATTCTTATTTTCTTAATAACTAGAAAGTTTCTAAACATTTAATAGATTGTGAATTATGATCATCATATACTACTAAAAAAATTATTAATTTTAAATGAATTATGAATTTAGTTTTTAAAATTATCCAACTGGAGAAATGTTGACAGTCCTAAAACGTGTATGAATGTAGAAAAACAGACCGAAAATACAATAAAAACAGATCCAATTGAAAAGAATTAAAGCCTATTATCATAATTATTCATTTTAGATTTTGAAGGAAAATAGAGAATCAAACAATAAATGAAGTAATGACGAAGGTAATTGGGTTGGCCGACATATCCAAAGCCGGTCTGGATTAGTATGAGATACTTTGGAGTATAATGGGGACACACCAACCGTCCAATTGCTGAACTAATGGTGCACCAACCCTGCTCTAAACCATGCATAGTCATAGAGACCATCATCCCTTCCTATTTCTTTGCACACTCCGTTCACAAGCCTTGCTAAAGAATGGTGCCTGTGCAGTGATGATGTCGCACATTATGAGCCGATTTAATCGAACCATAGAAGAAGATCGAATACGATGTCACATGGGGTTTGCGGTTCGGATGGAATTGTTTACGGAAAGCATATTGATTGGTGAGATAGACAACAACCGTAAAAAGTGATCGGACTGCATTTTTGTAGCGATTATAAAGGTCGTGTTGATTGTTAACCCCAAGATCCGAGGTTTAGGCCCTCCTTCTAGCATCAGTACGGTCTGATGTCTCTCAGGCAAAACGATGCTACCCATTTCTAATGCAAATTGCCTTCACTGAAATTTACTATTATTCTTCAAGAAAAACTATATATATACATTTTTCACGGGCCGTAAATTAAGATCCAAAATCCATATAAATTTAGGCGTGCATCAAAATTAAAAGGCCCAACAAAAAATTAAATTGTACTTATTTAAGTAAAAAGGCCCACCAAAATTTAATTTATAAAAATTTAAAATTCTAAGGACTCAACGTATAATTATAAATTAGTTAAAAATTTAAAGGTAAATTAGTTAAAATAGAATATTTATTATATTATTTTTCATTATCTTTTTTGCATAATCTATAACGGTGATCACCTAACTATTATTTTTTTCTTTTCATTTTGACCATCATTTTTGAAATTTTGTCAGTCTAGTCAAACTATTTAAATGCATTCAATCAAGCCACTTGTCGTTAACAATTAACAGAAGTGTTGGCGTGGTAGCTAATAAAATTTGTATGATTACACATTTAGTCATTATTACTTACACAATCTATCAAATTGGTCATATTTTGAAATTAATTCAATATATTTTATCATCCAATCATATAGCTTCAAATCTTTTATATTGAAATATTAACAAACGATACACATAAAATTATCCTCTAATCATAAAACTTCACATTTTGAATTATAATTTGATGATTTAAAATAAATAAGGAAAATAAAAAAAATCGATGGATCGACAACGGAACATGTTTTAGATGATTTTGTAGTTGTTGATATCGATATGTATACAATAGACCAAGTTTCACGTGGTATTTGTTTTTAGTAACAATACTTATAATATTTTCTATTAATTTGATATTTTTATTTAATATTGTTTTATATCTATATCTATACATCTCGTATAGATTGAGTTACAATTTTGATGTTTATTAAGATATATTTTAAAATTTTCATTAAAAAATAAGTAAAATATCATTGTTTTTATCATTGATGGACTTCTAACAGTTAATTGATATTATTCGAATACAAAATATATTTTTTAAAATCTAATTAGTCATTAGACAATTGACATGATAAATTCATCAAATTATTATTCTTTGTGTATCATTTGTTAATATTATAATATAAAAGATTTTGAAATTATATGATTTGAGGATAAAATATACTGAATTAATTTAAAATTATGATCAATTTGATAGGTAGCGTAAGTAATAAGGATTAAACGTGTAATTATAAAAATTTTATTAACTGTCACGTCAGCAATTCCGTTAATTATTAACGGAAAGTGGTTTGATTGAACGCATTAATGACTTAAATTGATAAAATTTAAAAAATAATGGTCAAAATAAAAAGTGAGAATAATTAAGTGATCACTGATATATTTTACCCAAAAAGATTATGAAAATTAATATAATAAATATTTTATTTTATCTAATTTACTTTTAATTTTTAATTAATTTATAATTATACGTTTAGTCCTTTAGAATATTAAATTTTTATAGAATACCCCAGTCACCAGCACATGCACGAGTGGTTCCTCTTCTCCGACCTCTCCAAACCCGGATCCGACCACCTCGGATCCCCCGTTATTAAAGTCACGGACCCGGAGGAAGCCGACCTTTTGTACGTTCCCGTATTTTCTTCCTTGAGCTTGATTGTTAACGCGGGTCGCCCTCCCGGTTCTGGGTCGGATTACAGCGACGAGGAAATGCAGAACCAGCTGGTGGATTGGCTCAAGGGGCAGGAGTATTGGAAGAGGAATAACGGGTGGGATCACGTAATTATTGCCGGGGATCCCAATGCGCTTTATCGGGGCGTGGATCATGTCAAGAACGCTGTGTTGTTGGTTTCGGATTTTGGGGCCAGATCAAGGGTCATTGGCGAAGGATGTCATAATTCCTTATTCGCATCGGATCAGTGCTTATACAGGAGATTTGGGAGTGAAAGACAGGAAGACCTTGCTATTTTTCATGGGAAATCGGTACAGAAAAGAGGTAATCAATTGTTCAATACTAAGTTATGTTTTTTTGTGTTTAGCATATTATGGTGCTTTGTTGAATTTCACTGTTATCTAGATTGTAATGGAATTGAAAGTTTTTATCTTCTTTAGTCTACAGAGCATGGATCATAGTACTAAATTGTGGTTCACACGGCCGGGTCGCCGTTGCAGATTTTGTGGCATTACGGTGTGATTTGTTTATTAAAAATAACTACGTTTTTAAATTGCGGTTGTGGTGTTGAGTTGACCTTGAAAACCGTTACCATGCAGCGGTTATAATGGGTTGTGATCGCAATTTAGTACTATGTCATGGATATTATAGGGTTAAGATGTGAGCTCGGCTCAATTCAGGATTTAGATTAAGAAATCTAGGAAAAGAGTCAAACACTGGTTTTTGAAGTAATTACTAACATGTGCTTTGATTATGCTCTGGTATAGTTTATGCAGGATATTGTAAATTAAGGCATTGCCCTAAAATTTTATCAACGCTCATCATCGATGACTGTTTTCTCCACCATCCGCAAATCATAGCTTAAGCATAACATAAAAGTCAACATCTGGACTCTACATTGACCTTGCAAATACATGATAACTTCAAGCTCATCGTGCTATTTCATCTGCCATGATTTCCTTGGTCGCCTTACTCAACAGTTTCTGCTTTTCCCCTGATTTTTTTTGTATCCCATATTAAGCTGCACTGATAATTGCAAAACTTTGCCTGTTCTCTTAGATTAAATGCCTGCCCTTGACCTCCTTATTAAGAATGGTAGTAAAGCTCCTGTAGATGCAGATGGTAGTTTGAAATCACATCCCATATTAAGGAAGATCTCACATGAATGATTAGCAAACATAATCATTTTAGGTGGACTTAATGTTCCTCGTTTGATTTTTTGTTTGTTGGTCCTATTATAATGCCTATTTTTTTGTTGACATTGTAGATCATGGAGAGATAAGATCTTTTTTAGCATAGCATGAATTTTAACAATTGTACTAAAGCTTAAATGGCTTGGATACCATGATATATAAGGATACAATTATAATGCCTATTATTTTGCAGGGAGGAAAAATTCGTGATTTGTTTTTCCAAATACTCGAAAACGAGGAAGATGTTGTAATTAAACATGGAACTCAATCCAGAGAGAATAGAAGAGCAGCATCACGTGGGATGCACACATCAAAGTTCTGTTTGAATCCTGCCGGAGATACTCCATCAGCTTGCAGACTCTTCGATTCCATAGTTAGCTTGTGTGTCCCTGTGATAATCAGTGATAGCATCGAGTTGCCCTTTGAAGATATTATAGACTACAGAAAGTTTTCTGTATTTGTTGAAACTACAACTGCCCTAAAAGCAGGGTATCTTGTTTCACTGCTGAGAAAAGTACCTGAAGAGCTTATAATTGAATATCAGAAAGCAATGAAAGAGGTTTGCACTATGTTCACTTTCCATTTTTTTTCTTATTCGTTATTTACTCCATTACTGAGAAGTAATAAATTGATCCAATCACATCTGTTCCATGTAAATTATGAATTCATTAATATCTTGCATTTTTTTAGAAAAATATCTCCGGTTAAATTTCTTGGTAATGATATGGTTTTGCTTTTAAAACTTTGATCTTGTGTTTCTTTCACTTGGTTGCATATGTAAATTATATGACTCTGTTCTGATTTGCCAATGATTTTTGGTTTTTTAAGCAATTTTCCTTGTTAAGAATTATCACTTTTGTTTCTGTTCCTGTGCTTTTTGGGTATCAGAATTTCGGTAAAACTTAGGAGTATTGCGATGTAGCTTTTTTTCCCCCTCCATGATCAACCACAAAACCGTGAGATGTGTTCTAGTTGTAAAGCTCTGGGAGCAGTTCTAGAGGAAAGGGGTTATGTTTATACACGCCGGTTTAAGGCGAGAAGATAAGACACTGGTGGTGTGTTGTAGTACAATTCTTGATTGGTTCTTTTACCATTTGTTCTCATTCATCATTATTAATTTGTTGCAAGTAGCCATAAACTATTCACTCTAAACATCTGTCGACTGAGCTCCATTCTGAATTAAATTTTGTTGATTCAGGTGAGGCAGTACTACGATTATACTCATCCAAATGGAACGGTTAATGACATATGGCGACAAGTCTCACAAAAGCTGTCCCTGATCAAACTTATGATTAATCGTGACAAACGGGTCATTAAGAGGGAGTTGAGTGAACCTGATTGCTCTTGTCTTTGTTCGAACTGGACCGGAATTATAAGCTCCTTGTGATAACATCATGTTTTGCTGATCCTTAAAGTTCATTTCACCTGTCAAATGTGTCCTAGCAAAATCCGACTCAGAAGATTCGCTGCGGAGCCTTGCAGGTAGATTTGAGGAATAAGTTATATGGTAGAATGAGGATGCCTTCCACTGCCAGAGGTACTGAAATTTGCCTTTGTGGAAAGGCTTTCTTGCATACATTGTTGTGGAGTAGATTTGAGGTTTTGGGGTATAGTTTTATTTGTAATTTTATTTGTACATTTTAGAAATTACACACACACACACACACACACATATATAAATATATATGTTGAAGTTGTTCCTAATCTTATGTTGTGCTTCAATTAGAAGATTGAAGCCACCATTCTTTGGCACCTCGTGAATGTAACTTAACAAATTCCTATTTTGATATATATTTTGGTCCAATTTTCATGTTTAGGATCTGATCATTATACTAATAATGTCATACATTATTCTCAATTTAACAGTTTTATTGCAAAATCAACCCCAACCAACCGTTGATTTTCAAATTATACTTCCGAGTTCTGATCAGTATACCGTATGCAAGAAATAATTAAAAACATAGTTTTCCATAACAGTGCAGCTCAACAATTGGCCAAAGAGAATCTTACAGTCAATTAACACGAGAAAATAAACCTTAAATCCATTTTCCTCCTCCTTTGATTGCTTTCCTTCTTTCCCATATTTCTCCGGAATCACTCCTCTTTGTGGAAAAAAAGATACCGAGTAATTAAAATCATCATATTGGTTAGCTGTTAAAGACAAGGAAATAACTTGCTTAAATTAAGCTGCTTATCTATGTGATCAACATGTTATCAATCTAATACCTTAAAAGACGGAGTTTGGCAAGTATAGATATGGATACCTTTGTTGATCACATAGGCAATTTCATGAATCATTGGAGTGTAAAGAACATAAAGGTTTGATGAACTGTCGTATATCATTCGTTTCTTAAGTTAAATAAACAAGTAAGAAAAAAAATTTATGTTCAATTGATAAAGGAAATTGAACGAACGATTTAGAGATAATTAGCACTAACTTTCAACACCCAAGCTCCCACCATGACAGTCTAATGTCATAAAGGAGAAACTTGGTAGATGTAATGTCTCCCATTTCTAAACAAAATATGCCAATTTGCACTCTTGTTATCATCCTAATTCCATAGCCAAACGCAACAACCTTCATTCAATATGCCTACTGAGCAGAGAGTTAAAAAATAGAAAACGAGGTAGATTCTTACCAAACTGAGATGGGCTTTTGGGTGGAAAATGCTTATTTCTTGCCCTTCTTTTTTGCAGGTTCAGCCTTGTTCCTCAAAAATTTTCTTTTCCGAGTCAAAGCAAACTCACCAAACTTATGACCAACTTTGCCTTCAGTGATCTTGCATCGAACAAAATTTTTTCCATTGTAAATCCGGACGGTTTGATCCACGAACTCAGGCAAAATGGTAGATCTACGTGAATAAATTTTCCTGTTGGCTAAAATAGTTCTATTATTTTTCATCTTTCCCAGGAATGCATCCACAAACGGAAGCCTCGCAACAGATGGCAGTCTCGTATACGATGAAGCTGAAATCAAATTTCTCCATTTTCTTAATGACATAAAAAATAAGAACTAACAGAAAACGCTGGTGGAATCCATGAGAATTAATAATACCTGATGATGAGGAACATAAGGTTCTTGAAATTTGGGAGAAGATTGTGGGTCGCGTGCTGAGAATTGAGGAAGAAGAGTAAATCGATCGGAAACTGAAGGCCTGGCGAAGAGCAAACAATTTCCCTCCCATTTTCTTTTCCTCTTTGTCGTCGATTCTCTCAAACTGACAAGAGAGTAGGAGTTTTCGTCCTGCGTAGCTAAACCTAGAAGCCGATGGGGCTGCGACTCTATCACCTACAAGGCTTCATATGAGTCCATGGAGATGGGTCACAACTGTTGTCCAAACCCATTTATAAACGATACATTTGCTAACACTATCATCTTATTTAAAAAAATTTAAATTATAGATTAAAAGTAATCCAATTATACTAGAAAAAATTAATTGTATGATATATATTTAGATTAAAAATATTATTTTATTTTGATCCTTAAAATTTTAAATATTTTAGTTTTATCCTTAAACAATTACTCTCATTTTAATTTAGTCTTTAAACTTATTTTAATCTCTAAACTTATTTTAATCTTCCATTTTCATCTTTAAATCCATCCAATATGTAATTAGTTTTAGTCATATTTTAACCTAAAATTTATTTTTTACAAACATATAATAATATAATTTGGTCTAATAATTTTATTTACAGGGATTTGATTAGCATATACCCATCATTTAGGATGAAATTGAAATATTCAAAAGTTTGAGATGAATGTCATAGTTTGAACATGAAATTAAAATATTTAAAAGTATAAAGATTGATTTTGAATGAGAGACGTAGCTTAATAATAATATTAAAATATTAAAAAAACTAATTTAAAATAATAATTTAAGACTGAAAAAAAGTAACCAAAAATGTTAGAAAAAAACACAATATTTTCGGTTTGGGGTGTAACCTAAAATATTAAACCTAAAATATTATGAAAAATTATATATATTCTTGTCATTCATTAGCCTTAAGTTAAGGTGTTGTTAGTAATTGTACACATATCAGGCTATACCAAATGGTAAATGCTACGACACCCTCTCTTCTTCCAAGATCCACCCGTTGGTCTCTGTTCTAAGCTTATGAGCTATGGATTCAGTAGGTGAAACCCTGCGGGATTAAATCGGGTTTTAGTGATTTTATAAAGCTTTCTTTCGGAAAACTGTTCTATTTAATTAACCAAGTTAGGTAACCCTAGAAGACTGGTGGTTGCAACTGACCCATTAATAAAAGGGAAAAGGTTTTACAAGAAATGGTGGTTCTTTTCACTCGAATATCATTAAAAGATTTAAAACGAAGTCAAAAAACGTTGTTATAAGTTATTGAGATTTAAAATTTTGAGTTTATAAGGTCAAGTTCGAATCCTACCATCGTCACTCTTGGTGAGTAATCTATAAATTTCTGTACAAATATTAATTACATTTTAGGTATACCATGATCCTGACTTAAACTTTAATACACCAAAAAAATTAAATACGATAAAATACTTATCTTAAATTATTTTTTAGATTGATATTTTCTCCGTGACATAAATTATTACATAAAAAGTATTTATCGTAGGATGTGTCTTATGTGGACAAAAGTGGTTGAATAATGCAATCGTCACATAATGCAATCGAACAATTATTTGCTTAAGTAGGGTGATTGCTAAGTAGCACACGACGACCTCCATAAGTCTCCAGGAACACACGACGACCTCCATAGGTCTCCAGGAGCATACGCCGACCTCCATAGGTCTCCAGGAGCATACAGCGACCTCTATAGATCTCCAGGAGCACACGTCGACCTATGGAGTTGCAACAGCGAGGGAAGAGAGAATAGTTGCTGTAACAGAAAAGGCTTTGTCGCAATGAGCCTATAGAAAACTTGACGACTAATAAGGTAACTGTAGCAAACACCCCGTTCAAGAAATAATTTAGTTAGAACCCTATTTGAATTTTTTTTTTCAATGTCGCGAGGAAGCCGTCTTGTGTGTATGCCGGCTCATGTTCGTGTTTGTGCTTTAATTTATTCACTATGACACTCTCGATACCATTCCCATGGTGCCACGTAACAGAAATATTAATGTAGCCACAACATCCCTCTCCCCATATTTTATGATTTTTCTCATGTAGTGTCGTCCTCGTTTTCGTTACATTATTTCATTTTCAATGCTTTTCAAAGTCCTTTTTTAAAACCGATGGGTCAGGGGACGAGTAATGAGAGAGGGGGGGCTACACAGTGTCTGATGCTAAACCAATCAGCAAGCAGAGTATTACAATAACAGGTGCTACACAGTGTCTGACGAGGAAGATGCCACGTGGGGCATGATGTTCACAGACAAAGGCGGAGACAAGGCTTTTCAGCCAGCCGGTGAGCTGCCTGCCTCGTGGGCATGGACACACCCCATGTGTTGCAGTGCTGGTAAAAGCCTCCTCCCGACTATTGTTACTTCACACTAATTTAACTAAACTTTTAATTGTCATCTTTATCAATTACATTATCGATTACTATTAAATCCATTACTAAAACATAAACTTTAGTTACATTGATAATATTATGGTACGTTATTAAAAAAAATTCTAATTTAATCTTTAAACTTTATACTATATTAATTTAGTACTTTATAATATCTAAACTATAATTTCTCACCATCATCACATGCAGTAATCTATGTTAATCAATTAAGTTAAAATGTCACGAGAGATGCACTCCTATCTTATTAAATGATATTATATATCACCTCTCAACATCAATACTCGGGTAACTTAAAATGCGTTCGAGAATGATAGCGATCTCTCACACAAAACAAACAGATAAACATGAAAGAAAATGCAGAAGACGAGAGGCGCGTGGGAACAGAATGTTTGAGAATCCATTTTCTACAACATCGGCTTTTGCAAAAATAAATAACTCCATTCTCCCAAAACACACTTTTTGGCTATGGGTCTCAAGTTTCAACTATGCTATTATTATCCCATGATTTTTTCTATATTTAATGAAAACATAAAAGAAAATTTAAATCACAACTGATTTTAAAAAAGAAAAAGGATTGTGCTTGTTAGGCTTATTTTATTCATTCATCATAGTTGGGTCGGGTCATAGAGAAAATCTTTATGTGCTACATGATATCTCAATGATAAAAAAAAATATTTTTCTTAGAAATTTTAAGTTCAAATAATCATATCATCATAATATATATATATATTGTCAATAGACTAAGAAAATAGTCTATTTTGTATAAACATAAGGTATCCTAAAGAAAGATACAAAATTCTAAGAAGCTCTTTCGAATTCATCACACATACATTTAAATACTCAAATAGATTAATTTATTATGCACTATACATGTCTTCCATACATATTAACACAAATACGAAATTAAAACGCTGAACTTGTCGACGTCCCAAGACAGCGACTGGTATTTAAAACTCTCCGTTACTTGTTTTGTCAAGTCGTGGTGAATTATTGGAAGATTATTACCCACTCACTTTATGACCCTACTCCACCGGCCTAGTGGTAAAAGATTCGTCGTTGAATATCCTCAAACCACCTTGTAATTTGCAAACAATCATCCAATTAAACCTCTAATTAATAACTTAAACAGTCCTTATCATGCCAAATTATTCCCACGTTTCATGGAAGTCTTGTTTCGAGAAAGAATGGAAATTATCTTAATCAATATATACTTGGTCTTTTTCTACCTTTTGTAGTTATCATAATCATTACGTCAAATGTGAATTACATGTAGGCATGCCCATTTAACTTGAATTTGATAAGTTTTAATATGATATCTAATAAAAATATTGTTCTAAGAAAAATTAGATTAAGTCAAATTTTTTTTTTTAAAAAATAAGATTAAATTAGATAGAGACGAGTTTGAGTTTACGGTGATTATTTTACTCGAGATTAAAATATATTTTTATATTTAAAGATAATTGATATAATTCTATTTTTTTTCTATATTTTTCAATTAGGTTCTTATTTTATCGAATAAAAATATATATTTAGTCAAGATTGAGTTATTTCGTATGAAAAATAATTTGAGTTAATTTATTTTAAATGAAACTCCTCTAAACTTAAATAAATTCAATTTAGAACTCTTAAATCAAATAGGCAAAAAATTAAAATAATCCAACTCGTTATCTTCTCTAAAAATATAATAATTTTGATAATCATTCACCACAAGATAGAATTATTATTTTCTTTTAGTTGACCTCTCGGTTATCAATGTCACAACCCGATTTTCATTGGAGTTGATTTGAATTTAATTTTAATTAATTTTGGGACTATCTTGAATTTTTTTTAGAAAATTAAGGTCCATTTTCGAAAAACCTAAAAGTTTAGGAACCCAATGTGGGACTTACCCCTTCCTTGGTTGTAAAAAAAACTTATTTTAACTTATTAGATCTAATGAGCCTTTTTCCCCACCCCATGAATAATAAATTTCCTGAGAGCTGGAACCAAGCCACCGCCCCCTTCACCGTTCAGCCGCCTCCGACCAACAGTGGTGTGCACCGCCACCACCCACTACTCCGGTGACCCTTTATGACCTCGAACCGACCGCCAATCTCCTAAACTCATCGCAATTTATCGTGAAATAACAAAAGAACTTTTGAAACCCATTTTTCGATCTCGGCTATTGTTCGTCAGTAAGTGTCACCGTCGGCACCAGTCGATGCGCCATCTCTTCCATATCAAAACCCCGATGATTGATTTTTGAGCCTCGCCGCTGTCTACCTTAGAAACGTTTGAAAGCTTTATCGGAAGTTTTAAAACCTGACTCTATTTTTGAATGATTTCTGCCTATCCTGACGATCGTTCGCCTCACAACCACCGTCATCTGATTCCTTGCTCTGTTTGACCAAAACCCAGTCGGGTTTGTCACTTCACCGTATTTAATCATATTTTGGCTAATATTTTTGTGTTGTTTTGGGTTGATTATGGTGTTTGTTTACCTCCTGAGTGATCGGACGCCTTGCCTCGTCCATTTCTGCGTCACACGCGCCTCCACGCGCCTATGACGCGCTTAGGCTTCTTTTTCCAGCTCATTCTTGCAGAAGATGAGTCAACTGAGATCGAATTGATTGAGTCAACTCAAACTGAGTTGACTGAGTTGACTTAGACCAAGTCAACTCATTGACCATTGACTTGGACCGTTGACCGTTGACATTTGACTTTGATTGTGTTAACTTTGACCAAAAAGTTAATTTTTTTCAAAAAAGTCATATTTTATGTTTTTCGATGTCCTGAGTCTGAATTTGAAGT